CCGCCCCTCGCTCAGCCAGTGAGCAGGAACTGGTCTGTATGTGGGATCCGAACCCTCGACGGGAGCGCCGCCACACTTCCCAAGCAGCGCACTGTAGCAGTGCGCCACCGGGCCAGCCCTGACACTCTATTTTTGTTTACTACAGTTCTCTCTCTCTCTCTCCCTTGTAGCAGTGCACCACCGGGCCAGCCCTGACACTCTATTTTTGTTTACTACAGTTCTCTCTCTCTCTCTCCCTTCCATTTAGAGTGTCCACTCCAGGAAGCCAGGGGTCTTTGTCGGTCTTGTGCCCAGCTGTGTCCCCCATGCCTTCAGTGGTGCCCAGCACGTGGTTGGTGCTTGTAAATACTTGCTTTAGTGAATTAACAAACTTGCTGCAGTGGTGTCAAGTGTACTTTTTAAATAATGATATTCAAATGAGTTGATTTAAATGGAAATATTAAAAGAATCATAAAACAGGTGGATGGAGCAGAATGGTTTAGAGGGTCTGTATAAAAGGGGGTGTTTGGGAAACATTGCTTGTTGGCATAGGAAGTGAGGAAGGGCTGTGTGGCTGGGGATTACAGAAGAGACTGGGATAGGGACAGGCCTCATCCTGGCTCACTCTGAAGGAGGGACCATCTCGCTGTCTGGGGCCTAGTGGGCTTTCCAGCTTCTCTGGGTCTCTCTCCACCCACCAAGCCTCTCCCTATCCTAATATCAGTTCCCTCCATATGCCCCAGGATGACGACCTCAGAAAAGCCAGAGCTGGGCCCTAGTCAGCACGCGGGTAAGCCGGAAGCCCCAGGTCTCCCACCCAGCCCTCTGCAGGCTCCCTTCTCTTCTCCCCATAGCCACCAACTCCCTTGTTCTCCCCGTTCAGGGGCCTCCCAATCGCTTGTCCCGCCCAGACCTCCCTGGGGCCCCCGGACTCAGCCCACAGAATCTGAGCATGTCGGCGCCCACCCCAAACCTGCTTTCCCTCCTCTTCTCAGTGGCCGGCACCCCCATCCTGTCCTGCGGTGGATCCCGCACATCCCCACAGGCCACAACCCACCCAGGCTCCATCTCCTGGATCCCTGCACCCAGATCCTCGATGGTCTCTTGGCTCCCAGGTTCCCTCCAAGGACCCTCTAAAACTCTGACCCTGTCACTCCTCAACTCAAAGTCCCTCCATGGCTCCCCAGTGCCCTTGAAGGAGTTCGAGCTCCTTAACATAGCTTTCAAGGCCCTTCATAAACTGGTCCCCACTGTCTTTCCCGGCTTCATCTCTCACACTTAACATCCGCCTCCTCCAATACATACACAGAATGTATATTTTCCAGACAGACCAAACACGGTTCCTCAGACATGGCCGGCCCTCTCCCCAGCAGGCCTCTGCATGCTCCCCTCCTGCCTTCGCACGACTCTCACTTCTCTTTGCCATCTCAGACGTCCTCTCCTCCAGGAAGCCCTCCCTGACCCTCAGGCTAGCCAGGTGCCCCTCTGTGCTCCCTCAGCTCCCGAGGCCCTCCCACACCAGCCCTAAACACTCTGGGTTATCACTCTGGGGACAGGTCTGTCTCCCTCACTGGACTGGGAGCCACAGGAGGGCAGGGCCATGACTGTCTTTGTCACCACTGTGTCTCCAGCACAAGGTTCATCTAGAAGAAGCATTTGCACAAATGTTAGTTGAATGAGTAAATGAATGTTGACAGCAGCCAGAGCGGGTCTGTGGGTACCATGGGCCAGCTGGTACCTCCCCTTGTCCTCTGCTTCAGGTGATGACAACATCTACGAAGTGATGCCATCTCCAGTCCTCCTGGTGTCCCCCCTCAGTGACATGGGGTCCATCAACCCAGCCGTGGTGAGTCCTGTCCCCACCCTCTCCCCTAAAACCCACTTCTAGCAAAGCACCTCCCCTGTGAGAGGGTGGCAGTGCCCCCGGGCACCTGGGCACAGAATTTGGGAACCTCAATTCTCTCTCTCTCCCTATCTCTCTGATGTTCCCTATTTTTAAAATCATAAGGAAAAGAGACTGGAAGGAAACCACACAACATAAACAGCATTTGTCTCTGGGGCGAGGAGGCTGGTGGGTGGGTTTTATTTTCTCTTTTATATTTGCCTGTATTTTCTTTTCTTTTTTTTTTTTTTAAAGATGACCGGTAAGGGGATCTTAACCCTTGACTTGGTGTTGTCAGCACCACGCTCAGCCAGTGAGCCACGGGCCGGCCCTATATTTGCCTGTATTTTCCAACTGAGCAGATATTCCCTTTATAATGGGAGCAGGGGGGAGGCAGGCTGATAAAAAATGAATTATTTTCATTTAATTTAAATAAAGAGAGAAACTTAAAAAGCCTTACTAAGAGCTTTGAACTGAAGGTGTTAACGGGGGAGGCTGGGCGGGTGACAGGCCACTGGACATATCCCCCCATGACTTCGGTTCTCTCGTGCCCATTTGTCAGAGGAGGACACTGAGGCACGGGGAGGTTCGTTCCCTTTGCCCAAGGGCCTCTCAGTCAGGGAAGGGCAACGGGGAGTTGGAATCCGGGTCTCTTTTAACACCCAAGGTCAAAAGTTGGAAAGGGGGGTGCCGAAGGGGGCCAAGGGCCTGGCTCACAGGTGATCTTTCCTTGCAGCCCCCGCCCCTGCCCCCGCCCCTGCAGCCAGAGCCGGAGGACCGCCACTACCAGGTGCCGCGGTGGGAGTGGGAGGCGGTGCGGGACCCATGTAACCACGCGGCCTGGGCAGGGACGGGCCAAGACGCCCGGGGTTGGGAGGCTGCCCTCGCCTCTCCTCTCCCGGCAAGTTTCCAGGTCTCTAAGTCCTGTTACAGTGTCGCTTAGAGATCCTGGGCAAGTCCCTTCCCGCCCACCCACCCCGCCAGGCCTGCAGTTTCCTCCTTTGTAAAAAGGATCCAAAGCCTTGAATTTGCACAGGAGGAACAAGGCCCAGGGAGGGAAAGGGGATTGCCCAGGGTGACACAGCCGGTCAGGGCCCCAGTCGAGTCCCACCGGCACAGGGGCCCACTTGTGGGCTGGGTCTCAGCCCCTCTCTGTCCCCTCCTCTCTGCCTTCGTATCTCTGTCTTCTCAGTGTGTCTGTCTACACGTGTCTGTGTGTGTCTCTGCCCCTCTCGGAATCTCTGTGTAAATCTCTCTCTCTCTCTCTCTGTATCTCTCTCTCTCTGTCTCTCTCTCTCTGTTTCTCTGTCTCTCTCTCTCTGTCTCTCTCTCTGTCTCTCTCTCTGTCTCTCTCTCTCTGTCTCTCTCTCTGTCTCTCTCTCTCTGTCTCTCTGTCTCTCTTTCTGTCTCTCTCTCGGTCTCTCTCTCTGTCTCTCTGTCTCTCTCTCTGTCTCTCTCTCTGTCTCTCTCTCTCTGTGTCTCTCTGTCTCTCTGTCTCTGTCTATCTCTCTCTGTCTCTCTCTCTGTCTCTCTGTCTCTCTCTCTCTCTGTCTCTCTCTCTGTCTCTCTGTCTCTCTCTGTCTCTCTCTCTGTCTCTCTCTGTCTCTCTCTGTCTCTCTCTGTCTGTCTCTCTCTGTCTCTCTCTCTCTGTCTCTCTCTCTTTGTGTCTCTCTGTCTATCTCTCTCTGTCTCTCTGTCTCTCTCTCTGTCTCTCTCTCTGTCTCTCTGTCTCTCTCTCTGTCTCTCTCTCTCTGTCTCTCTCTCT